TCTGGGGGAGTTGGGAAGGGTCAGGGGGAGGGTCATGGTTGGGCTGGAGGAGCTCCAAGGGCTTTTCCAACCCGGATGATTCTGTGATTCTGTGATGTTGAGGGCAGTGCTGGCCTGCAGGCAGCCCATGGCCCTGACAGAGACCCCCGCAGCCACCCCTGCTGCTGGCAGCCCTGGCCGACCCCTCGCCAGCCACCAGCTGTCACCTTGCAGAGCTCGGTTTATTTTCTAGCCAGGCTCTTGGAGAATCACCAGCCGCTGGCAGCTCATCCCATCCCACAGAGCCACGTCCCATGCTGCAGGCGGAGGTGGTGGCTCCGCAGGCCGGTGACCACCCCTCGCTGCAGGGATGGGGACGGCAGCGGTCGGTGCGGCGCAGCTCCCCCGTCCCCCCCGCGCAGGAGAGTCACGCAGGCTGGCAGGCACAGGGGTGCTGGGCTGAGACCCCACCAAGCTCAGCTCCTGTGCCCCTTGGAAAGGGGGCTGGCATCTCCCCGGCAGGAACCTCCCGCACCGCTGAGCCCCCGCAGGCGGGCGGATGGTTCAGGGACCAGCACGGAGGTAACTGGCACCCAGTACCTGATGTTCTCAAGGAGGTGCTGGTGGGACTCGTGGGTGAGGACCATGCAGAGGGCGTAGGCCAAGTACTCGACCTTCCGCTCCGCCGCGTACTGCTTCAGCACGGTGAACACCTTCTCCCTGACCTCTGGCTGGTCACCGAGGATGTCGTCCACCTGCAGCACGGGAGCCGGGAGAGAAAAGGGAAGGGGCGGTGAGTGGCAGAGCAGTGACCCGTGCTACGGAAAACCTGTCTGTCGCGTTGCAGCACACGAAGGGGGAACCTGCACGAGAGGGAAAGAGAAACTCCAGGCCTCTGCTCATCACACGGCACCGCTGGGGCCTCACACTCATTGTGTGTTATAACATTGCAGCGGCGCCGCGGCGTGACCCCAAACCCCGAAACTCCGCTGGGTCACAAGTGGCCCCGCAGGAGAGGCTCTGGCATGGCTGGGCTGGTGCCCGGCCCTTTGGTCTGGCGTCTGCCTGGCACAGGGCACCGTGAGGGGTTTGGGGAGGTATTTAAGCCTCTAATCATGCCCTGATCCTGCACTGTCCTGCCACTGACCCTGGGAGGCTGCAGGGAAGTGGGACAGGGAGCACGAACATCAGCACCGGCCCCGGAAACAGCATCAGCAGCTGCAGCCACTGCTCTATCCCTCCACCTGTGAGAGCCGTGACAGGCAGAGTAATTAGCTAATTACCATCGAGCCAATTACCCTGCACGGAACCCTC